TACACCTGATCTCGAAATATAATTGGCTAGTGCCATAAAAAGTCACATGACCGGAAAATTTTTTGTGGGTGAGCTACAAACGTTACAAAATCGTTAACGTCATTTGATGTCATTTGTAGCTGAGATCAATTTACTTTACTTGGGACATTTAGCCCATTTGATTGGCCATACTCATGTTTTATGTAACAATAAATGGGAATAAAGTATTTGATAATACTACTAAAGAATCTGGTTATTGTACAACCTGTCACTTTATATTGAGAAGTTCATGGTGTAATACTGTAATATAGAGTCTAAATACACTAAAATCCTTAATTGATAAAATGCATATTTAAATTCTTATGAATTGCCTTTTGTAATTGAGATTTGTAAATTTACAGTATATATACTGTATAATATCCCTATACTATTATAAATATATTAGGATTAGAGCTTTATACAGTAGTCTTGTAGTCTAAACATCTAACTCCTACAGTTAAGGTTCTTGGTTTAAATTCTACTAGAAACGGTTTCTAGAATATTTTAATGCAACCTCTGTAAAAAGTTCAAGTATAAATTTGGATTAGAAATTTTTAGAAAAAAATTTATTGTAGTAAGTTAGCACTACTGTATATATAGTGGTATTATAAAAAGTTTAATTATATAAAAGTTGTATAAGCAAATCTTTAGTTGAAAAATACAAGATAGCATTAACAACTTTAAAGCAATTGATTAGAAGGATAATATAGAAACTTGTAATAAAAAATTGGTCTAATTAAATAAAAAATACAGTACCTATTACTACAGTATTAGCTTAAAAAGGATTACTTATTACTGTATAAAGTTAAAGTTGGCAAACAACTTGGAGTATGCTTAAATTTTAGCTTAGTTACACGAAATTTGACCAATCAAAAGACTAGATTTATGTTACACAGCAGGCAAAAATTTGGCGCCTATATATGTTTTTTAGGTGTCCTGCACTGTAGATAAAAATTTTTCTAATCGATCAGTTCAGTAGTTGATTTATCAGCTAAAGATTTTGATCCCCAATAATAGGAACTCTTTTCATCAGGAAATATAGCAAATAAAAAAATATAATAATTATGTATTGCGAGAAAGAAGGTAATGAATTATTATTATTATTATGATTCCTCTAAAACTCAAGAAATTTTAAAAAAATATACATCGGTTCAATTGTGACTTTCATCAGATAGTGAAAATGTAAAGTATGAAAAGTGGAAAGCTGAACAGGAGGCCAGGAAACGAGAAAGAATATTAGAAGAATATGAACAAATTTGTGAAGTTTATGATTATTATGATGATTCTTCTAAAGCTCAAGAATTATCAAAAAAGGATATACATCGGTTCAGTTGTGACTTTTCATCAGATAGTGAAAATATAAAGTATGAAAAATGGAAAGCTAAACAGGAGGCCAGGGAACGAGAAAGAATATTAGAACAAAATGAACAAATTTATGATAATTTATTAAGAGCAATTGAATACAGTGATAATCCTGAAGAATATTCTCTTAATAATTTAAATTATCGAGGCCTACGAAATGGTCGAACACGAGAAAAATTAGAAATTGCTCAAAGAGAACGATGTCAAGAGTTGGAGAAAGAAATCAGAAATATATTGGTAATTGGATACACGGGTAATGGCAAGTCTACTTTGTGCAATGTACTAGTCAATAAAAATAATGAATTCAAAGAAATATTTGAAGAGTCGAATGGTAGTACGAGTAAAACTAGAAATATTCAAGCTGAGGTGTTTAAACATAAAGGAATCAAGTACCGAATAATTGACACAATAGGATTCGGAGATACGAAGTTGAAACAAAGTGAAATCATACTTGCAATTGCTGAGAGTTATAAAAATATTGAAAATGGATTAAACCAAATCTTTGTTGTAATTAATAGAAAGTTCGAGCCTGACAAAATAGTATATGTATATGATATATTAAGAAATGTTCTTTTTGATGAGAGAATTACCGACTATATCACTTTTGTAAGAGTTCACTTTAAAAATTTTGAAGATAAGAATAAATATGAAGAAGATATTCAAAACATAATTGAGGAGAATAACGAGGAAATTGTTAAAATCATTGAATCATGTGGTAAAAGAATCATTTATGTAAATAATTCGTCCAAGAAACAAAAGCGTGAAAAATCAAGAGAAATTTTATTAAATCACTTAGAAAATTGCCAAAAAGTATACAAGTCAAAGGACCTGGACCAAATAAATAAAAAAATAGATATGGATGAGATTGAAAATTTACGAAAAAAATTAAGGAATATAGAAGAAGAATTAAGGAAAACGGAGAGAGATAATGATTCGAAAGAGGTTCAATCAATAAAAGATGAAATAAATAAGATAGAAAAAACATTACTTAATACTATTGGCGAAAGGATAGCTGAATTACTGATAAGAATTTCAGATTGTAAAATTATGTAAAAAGATTATATAAAATACAAAAAAAAAATTCACCAAATCCAATCTTCTATAATCCTTCGCCTGTATTTAATAAATAAAATACATAGAATTTGAATTTTTATTATATACTGAAATATGCAGACTATTAATTTTTGTTAGAAATTACAAAAAATCATTTTCAAAACTGCACAAATCTAGTAAATGGTTGATGCATGAGATTAATATGGACCTTGCACGATCATTTTTCCGATATTCAAAAGATTCTCCCTTTTTTATTTTTTATTTTAATCATATCAACACATAAAAACATATGGAATGGGGGGTTTCAAAGTTAAAATCAGAGAATCTCATTTTATTTTTCCGATTTATAATTCAGCATAGTAAAAATACTATTGAAAAAATCCTATTTATTTTCGAAATGCGTCACTTATTTGTTAACTTTGAAACCCCCTAATAAGTAGAAATGCATGATTATTATCTTATTACTGTACTACTCCTTCGTTCATCCATCAAAGGTAGATATTCGACCAACATCAGAGGCGAGCCGTGTTAACTTTAATTTAGTTCCCTGGTCGCCGCGTCCCCGTTACACAATATACGTGTCCGTAGACCCGCGTTCCTGGGGTATCTGCATGATATCACATATTTTACATATTTGGGTTATTGCACAATTTATTAAAACTTTAGAACTTGGTTTGGTTTAGTTCTGGGTAGCGCTATAATTACGTTACGATCTAATGTTAAAAAATATAACAATAAAAGTTTCACATTTGAAATCACCTAAACATGTCTGAAGCTCGAAGGAATATACCTTCGTTTACTACTGTTACGTCAACATTCCGTTCATATATTCTTTCACTGCCATTATTGACAACTACCATTTCCTGTATAGTAATTGTATTTTACGCATTCGGTGCTCTCTTGTTTAATGATAACCCTATATACAATGCACTTAGTCTTAAGCCAGAAAAATTTTTTGAAGGACAAGGTATTTACTCGTGTAGTCTTTATTGGTGTGACGCCAGAAGAAAAATTATAATTTTTTTTGGCATCACTCCTTTCTAATTACACTTATATTAGTTTTGTCTTAATCACAACATTATAATAATGTTTCAGTGTGGCGTATCTTGACATATCCTTATACACACAGTTATCTCGCACATTTACTTTTTAATATTTTGGTGTTTTTGCCTTTGAGTACGGCGATTGAACATACTATTGGGACTCTTGAGTATTCTTATGTGTTGATCACTATTTTCACCGTACTTTCGGGTTCTATTTATTTGTTGAGTTCGTTGATTTTCTCCCTTAAAGGAGTCGAAATGGGTGGATTGAATACTTGGATATTTGGTGTTGTAGTATGGGAAAGCAGGGAATTGGCTGGAAGCGAGCGAGAGTAACTATTGTTATTTCATTACTTATATATTATATAATGATATTATGAATCTTGTTAATTTATACATGTGTGCATATAGAATATTTGGTCTCTTTAGAGTTCCATCTCATTTTTATCCACTTGTGTTATTTCTGCTGATGGAAATCATACTTCAACATGAATGGTTCGTCGGTTATCTATGCGGGCTGTTTGTTGGTTATTTTTGTAAGCACGTTTTTTCTTAATTGTATTGTCAACCGTTTATATAGTTCTCATTGTTCTAATGTTTTCTTTAATAATTGTGGTTTTAAGATTCTTTTGGATATCTTACTCGTATACTGCCATCTTCTGACTTTTTCTCAAATATTGAATCCAAACCATCTTTATCTCATCTTGTAAATATTCGTGGGTTTATCAAGGCTGAGGTTGGTAGAAGAGGCGGATGGTGGCTGCCGCTCTGGAATGATGATTCTATTGAGGATCCTCTAGAGACTTCTATTAATCATACTAGTAATGCTGGAGAACAAAATCAGACTGATACAATGTATGTTAAAAAAAAACAAGGATTTATCATACTTTCATGCTTCATTTAATCTACTTGTTAATTTCTTGTTCCTACTATAAATATTAGACAAGTTGCGCGTTCATCTTCGCCTGATCCACATTCAACCCCAGTTTTCATAGTACCATCAAGTAATACCACTCGATCAAATTCTCCTGCACTGGAAAGTGTACCTTTAACTACAGATCCAACAACTGCTGATCCAAATTCTAAAGAAAAAGATTGAGTTATTTATTACCAGTACCATAATATCGTACTTTTAATAGTTACTGTTTCTTTTCTATTTTAATTTGTTCATGATTTATTGAGACTATGAAAAATGTAATAATCTAAAAAAAGATCTGGGCATATTTTTCAAAGACATTTGAAATTCTCAACACGATTTATTTCTGTTGAAACGCCCAACGCGTTACCAGTTGCTAACTTTGCTACATGTTGGTTTTTAATAAAGCTTACAACTGATATAGAATCATGAATTTTGGATAATGAAATTCTTTATAAATTATTGCAGTATTATTTATTAGTCTTTTTTTTAATTTTTTTAATTTATAAACTCTTTTTTTTAAAATTGTATATATATATAAGTAAACTTTTAACAGTGACTACATATAATGAAGGTTGAATAGTAAAATTTTATTTGCATAAACGTTTATTAGTAATAAGCACTGTTAACTTCTGGAGCGTTATTGTAAAATTAAAAATTGCCATCCTTAACTGCATGTCCACTCCAGGCACCATCTAACTTATAAAATTTGCTTAATGTATCTCACGTATCTAACTAGTATCAGGTCAATTAATTTTTTATTTTTTTTTTGATGTCAGATATGATAAATATAATTGTGGTGCCTATTTACTAGTCAACCTATGTAATTATACCACAAAAAATTTCCCAGTCACATGACTTTATCGTGGCGCAAACCAATTGAATTTCAGGATCAGGTGTAACGTAAAAATTACGCTTTTTATATTTTTTTATAAAAAATCACTAAAAACTCTAAAATTTGTCTATGAAATCGTCTTCTGCGCATTAACAAAAAAAATTCCTTGCAAATTTTTAATAATAGCAATGCTTTAACAAAGTGTCTAACCCAAACCTTAACTCTCAATTTATTACTTTAATTCTTTTGTTTTATTCGATTGTTTTGATTGTTTTGATTTTCACGTTACACCTGATCTCTAAATATAATTGGCTAGTGCCATAAAAAAGTCACATGGCCGGAAAATTTTTTGTGGGTGAGCTACTATTGACGAATAGTCACGTGATAAATAAAATGAACGCGTATTGTCGCGATCGTGAAATCTAAAACCCTAACCAATCAGATGCGATCCAAATTTTAGTAATCTATTTAAAAGATTTAAAAGAATTATTATAAATTATTTTTTTAATCAAACGAATATGGCCGATATTGAAGGTAGTCAATTTTATATTATGCCGCGCGTATATAGGTAGTTCTGGTAGTTATTCAACCTTATGTTATAGGTTCCCAACTTCCTCAAAAGTACCAGGAGAGGCTTCTCGCAAGAAGAAGAGGTCTCGGGTGAGCTTGTGAAGCTATTCAACAAAGTCTAATATCTAACAAATTTATATAAATAAATACTTTAAATTCACAACAGTACGCACAAGACAGAGCTTCGAAATTTCAAAATCGTAGTACAGGATACATCTGAGTGTGATGTTGTTGGAAATGTCATCAATGATACAATATCATCCAATTCTAGTGATGATGTTGGAAATGTCATTAATGATACAATATCACTTAATTTTAATGGAAACGTCATTAATGATATAATATCACCTAATTTTAATGGAAACGACATTAATGATACAATATCACCTAATTTTAATGGAAACGTCATTAATGATACAATATCACCTAATTTTAATGGAAACGACATTAATGATACAATATCACCTAATTTTAATGGAAATGTCATTAATGATACAATATCACCTAATATTAATGGAAATGTCATTAATGATACAATATTACCTAATTCTGATACATCTGAGTGTGATGTTGGAAATGTCATTAAAGATCCAATATCACCTAATTTTAATGAAAATATCATTAATGATACAAATTCTAGTGATCAGGATACATCTGAGTGTGATGTTGTTGGAAATGTCATTAATAATACAATATCACCTAATTCTAGTACATCCGAGTGTGATGTTGTTGGAAATGTCATTAATGATACAATTGATGAGTTTTTGTAAGTACTTATTTTATCTGTTAAAATGTAATAATTGGCATTTTATGACATAAATTTTCTATTAATGTTAATAGAGACGAATTAGATGATAATAAATTCTCAAAAGAAATCCAATATTTCAAAAAAGAAGTTGAACTTCGTTTGATTGAGCAGGTTTGTAATTTTCGTAATTTTATACATATTTCTTATAAATGAAACATCTAGTGGTAGGATTTATATAATTCTACCTATAACCATCACTACCTTAAACGCGATTTGCAGATATGTCGAAGAAATATTTGTCATTGGTCACGGGCCTTTGTATATAGCAATTGGGATTTTTTGACAATATTTCATTTATAAGATCAATTATATAATTATATAAAAACGATATGATAATAATTTTTTCAATTTAGTCGGATCTTGTAGATGAGCATATAGCACTACAATCTTCATTGCAGAAAGCGAAGTCACGAATAAGACAGCTAAGAACAGAACTCTTGGATGTACAGCGTCACCATGATAAGGTGTATTCTGAGTTACATAAAGAGAGAAGTACATTTAGGATGGATGAAGAAAATAGGAAGGTTGGTTATTCTTTTTTTTTTTTTTTTTTTTGAGTTGGATATATTTGATTAACATTCATTTCCATTAATTTGTAAGAAATTGGAACAAATACACACTTTTCTATCAGATCTCGAGTTATTGCGTATATCTGTTATGTCTCGAGACAGTGCTCAAGATGAGGAGGAGGAGGGCGAAGTTTTGGTAAGAAATGACATTCTTATCATAGTTTTCATTTATATGTATGATTGTATCGAATTCGTTCGTTCTTGTAGGTTGGTTTTGAAGGCCTTTTGGCATCCGTAGTATCTCGATGTTGTGATGTATCAAATTCAAATATGATTTTCCAAAGTTCTGACTCGATACGAATCACAGATGCTGGAAATTTAGTTGTTTTACGCCAGTTTAATTCATTGTTAGAAAAGTGTGAAAATGTTATGAGACAATCGGCAGATATTGATTAGAATCTGGAATTCACTGGACTTCCAGAAGTTTCCAATATTCAATTTTCCAATAAAAAAGTTCTACCAGAAAAATGAACTATTAACCAATAAAGTACATATAGTAGTTAATATATAATATATAATGAGATGGTCTCGGTTCAGTCCCGTTCTAATAAGATCGATTCACACTAGTGTTATCTGTTGCTTAGTATCGAAGTCAGGTAAACACATACGTACGAAACCTATCTAGTATCGTTTAAAATTTGATCTAAGTTTGGGTATTGTTTTTCAAGAGAAATAATCCAGTTGCTTGGTAATTACTATACTAGATAGATGAAAAGTCTCTATATAGATCTCTTTTTTTTTTTAATCAGTAAAATAGTAATCATTGCAATATTATATAGATATTAAAAAATATCAACTTGCCTAAAATGGTTAATAGTTGTTTTGAGGTTCTGTATAAAAATACTGGAGAAATTAGTTTCATTAATTTAATACTAGTTTCACTAATAATAATAAAATTATTTCATTACTTTATATTTTATTTCACTAGTATTTTAGATCTATAATCTAGACAAATATTAGTAAAAGTTAAATCTGTTAAAATTTAATAAAGTTTAGTTTATACAGTCGTCCCTCCATATAGTCACCTCCCATATAATCACATCATATGTAATCACATTTTTATTTGGACCAAAATATAATTTAATTTATAAGAAAAAAACCTCTATATAAGCACAACTCCTCTATAAGCACATTTTAAAAAAAAGTTATTATGTGCCCAACTGTGTGATTGTATGGGAGGACGACTGTATTATAAGTGGATTAAATCTTTTAAAAAATACTTATATTAATTAAGAGTTAATAGCTAAAGAAATGTTGGATTTATATTTTAAATTTTGATTTTGTAAAAAATAAACTTTATATTTGCTAAGATTTAACTATTATTTTAAAAAATTAACAAATTGGATTTTTTGTTACAAGTATATACAAAATTAAAACAATAAATTAATTTTATAAATACAGTTTAATGTTTTTTGAGTTGCTTTATATCGAATTAAAAAAGACCTACTATTGATAAAAATCAATTTTTTAATTACTCAAATTTTATATTAAAAAATTTATCTTATAAACTATATAACAAACCATGTAACTAATAAAATTTAGCATTGTACAAAAATGCAAAAACAACATATTTTACTTTTATATTGTTTATATTATACTTAAATCTTATCTAGTTTTTATTATAATCAAAAATTATATATTATGTATTTTATAATATATTGAATTAGCAATAACAATATTTATTAAAAATTTAATATCAAAAAAGCAACTATTTATGAGTAAATTAAAAAAAAATAAAAGGATACAGTATGTTTATAATTTTATAAAATAAATAAATCTAATTATAATTAACTTCTTCTAAGTGTATATTCTTTAAGTGCAAGTTCTTTTTAAATACAATAAAATAGACTTAGCCCAAGTTAAAACTTATAAAATAAATACAAGTTTTTTATTTTATAAATACAAAATATTTTTTATATAAAATTATTTTTTCTAATTGCAAGATATTTTATTAACCAATTAAATTGATTTATTTAATTTAAATTTTTTTTCTAAATGCAAGTTATTTTTTTTTAACCTATTAACTTGTATTTAATTATATATTAATTTAGTTTTCTTGCAAATTTTTTCTAAATGCAAGATATATATTTTGTAATTTATTAACTTACACTTAGAGGAAGTTGACTGTAATTTTTTTTTTTGCACCATTACTTATGATACAGTACTATATAAGGTAGATCACTCTATTTCTGCAAATTACTCTATTTTCGCAAATTCTCTTTCTTTTTTTTTACTGCAGCATTTTTTAGAACAATTTACATGATTTCATAATAAATAGCTCTAGCATATGATATACTCAATTAAACTTTATTATTTTACATATTTATTGCATTACTTTTATATCAATTAACTATTTAATAGATGATCTAATTGGCTTAAATTTCTTTAACTTCAAATTTTTAGCACTATTTTAATACACATTTACTCTTATTTTATTTATCTAAATGCAAAAGAAATTTTAATTTTGGTTAAAGTCGGTTTAGATAAAAGTAAAAAAAAAAAAATTAATAAATAAAAAAAATAAAAAATGCAAACTTAACTTAAGTTCCAGATTAATTTATTAACCTGATTGTTTGATGTGCAAATTGAAAAGTATGTACGTTTGTATATACATACGTACGTACATACACATATACAAAAGCCACAAAGACAAAGTAGTTTTTTTTCTTTTTTTTTCTTTGTTTGTTTGTGGCATAATAAATAAAAAAGTCAGTTTTTTTTTGCACTATAAGTATATACTAGCTCCGTGTATATTACTACGTGCCACATTTTAATCTAATTAATACAAAGTATACTTATACTAATATAAAAAGTTATTGTGCAAACTTTTATGATTATAAATTTTTTCTTCTTGTTATTTTTTGTATGTTATTATATAAATCAACAATCTCAAATTAAAACTTAGTTAACCAATAATTACTTGTTAATCATCATCATAATTGCACAATAACATCAATATTGGATCATGCGATAATAAATGTCATAAAATTTGTTCTGCCAAAACAAATAGTTGGCTGAAATGTGCTACTGCATAGCACATGTTAGCCAACCATTTGCTTCGACAAACCAAATTTCATGATATTAATTGTTGCATGACCAATATCTTATAATTACAGTATATAAATAAATATATAATTGCATAAATAGATATTAATATTGTAACTATTATAAAAGAGGGCTTGGTATTGTCTTGCCAAGTTTAACTCCGATGGTTGACGTTAAAAGGGTCATATGAATTTGGCAATAAATTAGATATTCATGATTTATTAGGCATTTATTATTAAAAGAATTTTAGTTATGTTATATTTATTTCAAAGAAGAATTTTGAGCAAGTGCTTAAATACAGGAATACTTTTTTAGAGTGTAATCATAATGACTACAGCATACTCATGGTAGATTCTGTGTATTCGTGGCAATCACAGCATACTCGTTACAACTACTATATTCACAATTGTATGAACTAAGCCTCCAACAATAAATTACAATGCCTAATACTAAGGTAAGATTAACATGGCTATGATAGTACAATTATGGAAAGTAAGTAACAGCTTAAAGAATTAGACAAATACGGAAGTGAGAAGACAGAAAAAATCAATCGTTACAATATAGAATTAGAATTAACATAAGTTAATCCTGAATCTACTAAGTATGATCTTGACTATATTAATATTAAAAGGTTTAAGTAATTTTAGCATGAAAAATTACATCATTATAGTAAGGGGAGCACCAGATATCACGTAATTTTTACTATGGATACATGGTCAGCATGGGGTATAGTAAACATATAAAAGACGTAATCACTTATACTATACCACCCCATAGATAGGGTAGCCTCTTAATAAAAAAAAATTACATGATAAATAGCATGCTCCTAAAACAACAAATAATTTTCAATATATTAAAATATTGATCATGTAAGCTTAAATAATGCAATGTGATTGGTAATTTCAGTGATTGCTAAAATAGAGGGCTCTGATTGGCTGATGTTGACAGACGAACATTCCACTTTAATATATAGATAAATCCAAGATCTTCTTAACTTTATCTTAAATTTTAATTTCAAACTACTTCAAATTTTTAATACCATAGTTTGTCTTTATTTTATTACTATGAACGCTATAAATTCCAAGAATACTGTAATGCTAAGAGTTATAAAGTACAAAAAAAAGAGGTCAAGAAAAAAAAAAAAATTAAAATCAAAAATTAAAAAAAAACTTTTAATTATTTATTGTACCTGATCATTTATTTATTGTACCCAATCTTTTGTTATATCTGATGAAAGTATATATATACGCGTTATATACACATTATATTCAATCATTTTTTTGTTTGCAACACATAAATATTATACAGTAAAACCTCTCTAAGTACATCCTCCCTAAATGCATACCCTTTTTAAGTGCACACTATAGCCTGGTCTCAAGCTTGGGACTTAATGCTAAGTGCACCCTTCAATCTCTGTATGTGAATAGGTTTTTATAGCCCAGACCTATACATGCACTCTCTATAAATGCACACACGTAATCAATATAAATGCTCTACCAATTGGAATAGTAGTTTTGTCAAATATTCTTGAAGAGGTAGATAATAAATACAGTAAATATAAAAGACAAGAAAAACTCGGAATACTATTAATTGTTGTAGTAGAGTAGAAAAAAATACTAATTCTATAAATGCACACCTTCTCTAAGTGCACGCTATAGCCTGGTCTCAAGAGCATGCACTTAGAGAGGTTTCACTGTATACACATATTTTATTGCGTTATGGTTGTTTTTTTTTTAATACTATAACAAAAAAAAAAAAAAAAAATGCCATTAGTAAAAGCTCAACATCAAGAAACACAAAATTTATATCAAAACACTTTAGCAAATAAAGAAACTTCTCATTAGGCCTCTATTCATGCTGCACTTAAATTTCTTGAAGCTCAAAAAACTAGCTCAACACTATCTTTAAGTGTTTATAAAGTTGCTCTTGAGTTTGGTTTTGCTGATCGAACTTTATGTGATGCAATACAAAATAGTGTTCCAAATTGTCATGGTCCTCCTACTATACTTACAGCCTATAAAGAGAATGAGATAGTTGGTTACTGTTTAAACATGCAGCAACTTGGATTTGGACTTACCAAAGAGGCCGTTAATACAATGATTATGCAAATTCTTAGTACCCAAGATCGAAAACATCTATTTAATAGTGCCCTGGGTTATAAGTTGTGGAAAAGATTTATAAAAGATCATCTAGAACTTTTATTTTGTATATCTCAAGAACTCTTCCAGACACATGCAAGTAAAGCCAAACCAGTTGTTCTTAAAGACCACTTCAAAAAACTTAAAAAACTTTATAATGATTATTCTTTAACTCCAGATCGCATCTAGAATATGGATGAGATGAGATTTAATATTTCTGCTCGATTGCAAAAAGTTTTGGCCAAGAAAAATACCTGACAAGTTCATAAAACTGTAGCTGGAAATTCAAAAGAATATATCTCTGTATGCTTTGCAATTTTAGCTACAGGAACCTATATCCTACTATTGCTTATTTACAAGGAAGTTAATGTTCTTAATGGATTGTTATCTGGTTCATCTGTCTTACCTAGCACTGTTGCAGGGTTTACTGATACAGGTTATATGCAAGAAAATATTTTTAGAATGCATATTGAATATTTTAATAAATCAATTTCAGCTTTTAGACTAGTTTTACTTATACTTAATAGATATTCTAGTCATATTGATTTGATTAGTATTAATTATTGCAGAGATAATAGAATTTTATTATATATACTCCCTTTAAATACAACTTATATTCTTCAACCTTCTGAAACACCATTTAAAAAACTTAAATTGGAATATAATAAAGCTTCAAACAACTTTAGATTTATTAATAATCAAAAAATTGTTACAAAATATTCTTTTACATAAATTTTTGGTGAAGCTTTTTTTAAAACTTATACTTCTACAGCAATTAGAAATGCTTATACTACAGCAAAATCCAAAGCAGGTAGATACAAAATCCATATATGAATGGTGAGTAATACCCACGGGTTAGAGGGCTGATGATGGTAGTTAGAACCAGATGGTTTAAATAGGTATGGCAGATAGTGTAAAACTCTTAGTATAGCACTAATGTTTTGGGCAAACCACTTAAATTAGGCACCAAAAGTGCATATATGGCTTGATGTATTATTGTTGTAATTATATTATAAAACATCATCTATACTCTAATAAAAAGTTCCCAGACCAATGAGGTTACCTTAATACCAAAAAAAAAAAATGTTTATACTGCAACTGGAATTTTGTCTTGGAATCTTAATGCAATTAATCCAGACTCTTAGCACCTTTATTATCAACTAAAAAAAAATTAGAAGTCTCTTTTAAACTACAACATGAATATAATACAAGAAGTCTTAAAATTATACAACTTGAAAAAGAAAACCAACAATTAAAAGAATATATCCAAGTTCTTGAATATCCTGGAACTACATCCTTATCATCAATTATAAAATATCCATCTATGAAAGCTTCTTCAAGTGAAGAAAAATCTAAAACTAGATCTAAAGCTTTTAAATTTAGAAATTTAGTAACTTCTGAAGCTATTACAAAAGAATTATAAGAAAAAGAGAATATTAAACAAAAGAAAATAGAAGATATAAAATTAAGAAAAGAACAAAGAGCAAAAAAAAAGCAAAAAAAATAAGTTCAAAATCTAAAAAACTAATTTTAAAAAAAAAAATTATAAAATATAAAATTTTTAGCAAATTTATATTATATTAATAAGAATAGGAAAGAAGGTTTAAAATTGTTATAAATTTTATAGAATTTAGCTTTATTTAAAAAAGTTTTTTTTGTATATAAATATTATTCAATTTAGATATATATATATATATATATATATATATATTTTAACTTTGGCATATCTTGCCAGGTATTTATTTTAGTAATTAATTCATGTGTACAAATGATGCTAGTTAACTAATATAGATGGTAAGTGATAAACTCTAAGCTTGTTGGCAAATAGCATATGAGAACTATTTCTAAACGACAAGTGCCAGTACTATAGAACTAATGATTACTGAAACACCTGACCTCACCTGATTGCTTTACTAAGCCCTAGATATGATAGCTGCACTACTTTTATTGTAGAACCGCACCAAACCTCAACATTGAAGCCAGTGACTAACTTTTTGCTAGGGTATATGTCCTACCCATATATTCACCCAGGCTTCGATAATCTACCGCCATAGCTTGACCTATGCACTCGGGTCAGGGCTAACTATTGAACCCTTATTTAACTAGTGCCAATTATGCTATCGTAACCAAGTTCGTATTTCAAGCTACCTCTAAGGTCCAAGAGTGCTGCTGCAACCCAATCTGACAAGCCACAAACTTTCTAATTAGACCTGTTACCTACTTCTGCTCTTGTATAGGTTCACAACAACCCTAGTACTCACATTTAGACCATCTTCTTATTTGGATTCTTTATCGGTCTCTTCCTTACTTCCAGCTGACAACTCAGAAAGGTTGGTCTGTCTAGGCTTTAGGTGCCTGAAGGACGCCCTCCCCTTGGTACATACTTTCAGAGTATATGTTCTTTTTCTTCGGTGTGACAACCTGGCAGTTTGGCTAGTATGTCCTCTGCTATTAGGACCTGGTCGCTCGGTTCTCCAATTTCGAGCCCCAGTTCGAATTTAGCACTCTTGTAATACCATCATAGATTACTGCTACTCCTAACTCGGAACTTCCCAAATGGGTTTTCAGTTATACCGGTTCCTCGGATTTATTGCGTCATTGCTCCCATTACTAGATGGTATAACCAAAGTTACAGATTAGATCTAACCGATAAGCATAGCCGTTAACTGAATACAAGCCTAATTTTCGAAAACCGTCATCTGTGGGATTCGAACTTTAGACTTGCTACTTGGAGAGAGTGATGACTAGACCACTATACTAAGTTGCTACACCTCTATTTAGATATTTTTTAATAATAATTAAATAATATATTTTATATATACTTTTTAATAAATAGATAATATATTTTATATATTTTTTTTTAATAAAGAGATGTGGCAACTTAGTATAGTGGTCTAGTCGTCACCTTCTTCAAGTGGCAGATCTAGAGTTCGAATCCCACGAACTAGAGACCTGCATTGGGTCTCGAAGCCCAGCCCGGTTTGTACCCGCCCGGCCCGGTATATGGGCCTGGGCAGGCCTAAAAAAATTTTTTATAATTGCGGGCCAGGCCGGGCTAAAATTTTGAAAAAAATTTATATTAAAAATTTGTGGGCCAGGCTAAAACAGGCTGGGCTTGACAAAAAATTTTTAACTATGGGCAGGCCCGGGCTGGCAAAAAATTTGTAGCCCTAATTGCGGGCTAGGCTTAGGCCTTAAAATTAGGAATTTGCAAACCTCTACCACGGACAATGATATTTGAAAAATAGGTCTGTGTTTCAGTTAACGGCTAATACTTATCGGTTGAATCTAATCTGTAACTTTGGTCACACCATCTAGTAATGGAAGCTTTGGCGCAATAAACCCGAGAAACTAGCATAACTGAAAACCCATTTGGCAAGTCCCAAATTTGGAGATAGCAGTGATTTTCAACAGTACTACAAGAGGGCTGAATTCGAACCGGGTCTGAGATTGGAGAACCAAGCGATCAGGTCCTTAAGTGGGGGACACACCAGCTGAACCACTGGGCCGATACACCAGAGGAAAAGGACATACGCTCTGAAAGTATGGACCAAGGGGAGGGCGTCCTTTAGGCATCTAAAGCCTGAGCAGACCAATCTATCTGGGTTGCTAGCTGGAAGTAAAGGAGGGACCAATAAAGAATCCAAGTAAGAAGACAGTCTAAATGTGGATACCGGGGTTGTTGTAAACCGAATAAGGGCAAGGAGTATGTAATGGGCGCCTAATTAGGAGGTCGTTTAAAGCCTGGCACCTTACGAAATTTCCTGATTATCGATAATCATTGGATAATCACAGGATATACCTAATCAAACTAACGATTTTTTTAAAATTCTAGCAAAGGTTTCTCACTAACTACTTAATTAAATTTAATAAAATTTTTTTATTTTAATTCTATACATTTGTGGAATCAAAACAAAAAAAAGTGTATTGGATTTGGATTTATAGTTGTCAAGAAATCGTTGGTAAAAGTTTAAAAAAACCTTCGAACATCTTGGAAAAAAAGCCAAAATTAGTGAATTTTTCTCTTTTTAAACTTTGATCAAAGATTTCTTGACACCCATATATCCAAATTCGATAAATTTTCTTTTATTTAATTCCAAGAATCTGTAGAATAAAATAAAAAAATTTTGATTGAATTTGATCAGGTAAGTGTCAAGTAATTTTTATTCAAAGCTAAAAAAATTTTGCTGCAGTTTTTATTTTGTTTTTAACTATTTTTAACCAGGGGTGATGTAACCACCCCTATTAAAATTTAGGGTTAGGGTAGGGTATTAAAAATTATTTTTTTTTTATATAATATAATATATATTAGATATTAGGTCCCAATTTTAGTTCTTAGAAGGTTTTCAGGGGTTCTGAACATTTTTACTTAGAGTACCTGATCCCGTTTACTTAGTACATTATTGAGATATAGCACCCCCTGGTGACATAACCAGAGGGGCAAGTTAGCAATAGTCTTTTATTTTATAAATACTTAAAATTTAAATGAAATTACTCAACACTTACCTGATCAAATTCAATCAAAATTTTTTTATTTTAATTCTATAGATCAATAAAATTAAAATAAAATAAAAATTAATAGAATTTTATTAGGTAAATGTCAAGTAATTTTCGTTCAAATTTTAAGTATCTATAAAATAAAAACTGCAGCAAAGTTCTTTTTTAATTTGAATAAAGATAACTCAACAATTACCTGATCAAATTTGAATGATTTTTTTTATTTTAATTCTGTATATTCATAGAATTAAAATGAAAAAAATTTGATCAAATTTGGATAAATTGTTTTCAAGAAAACTTTGCTTAAGTTTTTAAAAAAAATTTTTAAAAAAGAAAAGTTATAATAAATTTACTAGTTAAACTTTTATCAAATTTTCTCAACACCTATTCATCCAAATTTGATCAATTTTTTTTATTTTAATTCTACGAATATATAGAATTAAAATAAAAAAAATTAATCGAATTTGATCAGGTAAATGTTGAGTAATCTTTATTCAAAGTTAAAAAAAAACTTTACTATAGTTTTTATTTTATAGATACTTAAAATTTGAATGAAAATTACTCAACACTTACCTAATCAAATTCTATCAATTTTTTTTATTTTAATTTTATTGATTAATAGAATTAAAATAAAAAAATTTTGATCAAATTTGATCAGATAAGTGTCAAGTAATTTTGTTCAAATTTTAAATATCTATAAAATAAAAACTGTGGCAAATTTTTTTTTAACTTTGAATGAAAATTACTTGACACTTACCTAATCAAATTTGATCAAATTTTTTTTATTTTAATTCTACAGATTCTTAGAATTAAAATAAAAGAAGATTTATTGAATTTGGATATATGAGTGTCGAGAAATCTTCGATCAAAGTTTAAAAAGAGAAAAATTTATCTGATTTTGGCTTTTTTTCCAAGATATTCGAAGGTTTTTTTAAACTTTTATCAATGATTTCTTGACAACTATAAATCCAAATTCAATACACTTTTTTTTATTTTGATTCTGCAAATGTATAAAATTAAAATAAAAAGATTTTGTTGAATTTAATCAAGTAGTTAATAAAAAACCTTTGCTAGGATTTTAAAAAAATTGTTAGTTTGATTAGGTATGTTCCGTGATTATCCAATAATCATCAATGCTTGGGAAATTTCGTAAGATGCCAGGCTTTAAATAACCTCTAATTAGGAAGGCTAGTGCTTAAGAAATATCCGTAGAACAGCAGCACCCCAAAAGGTGATGTGAAATATAAATACAGAACGGCAGGTCAATATGTACTAATTAGGAAGCCGTTGCAGAACATGCAGGTAAATACATGTGTGGGACATGTACCACTCTATTAGGTTTATCTCGAGGATAGATTAGCTTAAGTTAGTAAGTCCTAAGGTAGGGTGCAAATTCCTATGGGTAGATGCAAAATCCACAACCATATGGTGAGTAATACCTATGAGTTAAGGTTATGATGAAGTAGTTGGAACCAGATAGTTTAAATAGGTACCCCCTAGTTGGGGTGCAGGTACGGCAGATAGTGTAAAACCTTTGGGTGGACTACTTAAATTAGGCACTCAAAAGGTGCACATGTGGCTTGATGTACCATCGTTGTAACTACATTATAAAACTCCATTTACATTCTAATAAAATGTTTCCCAGGCCAAAGAGGTCCTCTTGAAAAAAAATATATATATATATATATATATTTTAATAAAAAAATATTAATTTTTAAAAAAATTTATATATAGCAAAAAAAAGTTTGCGGAAATAGGCGATCTACCTTATATATATTATTTTTGTTACCGTATTACCGCGAAATAACGCGCAGGGATAAAATTACAAATTCCGGCCTAAATTAAGCTTAATTCGGGCCGAACCTCGAAGTAACGTCCATGATCGGTTTTATGTAATATATATACTACCAAAGCTCTCTAATATTAATACTGTACGTACTAATTTCTGTTAGATCAATAGGTATTTTTAGATATAAAACTTTTTTACTTACGTAATATATACTGTACAATAATACTTTTTTAATTTATTTTTAATTAATTAAATGATTTATGAAACTAGTCAGTTAAACCTAAATAGGTGGAAATCGTATCGCAGAATACAATGTATATATATAAATATAAATATATATATTATCTAAAGCTAATATTTTAATTAAATGTTTAATTAAATTTTTAATAAAATTTTTTAATAAATTATAAATTTTTTTTTTTTTTGCATTTAAAAATATGGTTGGTTCATTATGAATATTGTCGTAAATAGATTATGAAAGTCTATATGAATTTTAAAGTACATTAATTCATAATCATTCATTCCAATTTGATAAACTTTACTATATATACATGAGTGGAAAAATGTTTTTCCCAAAGTTTTTGCCATTAAACCCAGAGTCCCTTATATATATATTAATAATAATTAATAACGGCCATTACCATCGTTGGTGTCACAACTATCTACACTTGTATTAGATCCATCATTATTAATAAGTCGTAGATTTTCTGGTTGATAAAATTCATGACGTTGCTGTCTTGGATGAGATTGAGAATAATCATAAAATTGATTTTGTTGTGCAATTTCATTTGTAGAGCTACGTGAGGCAACGGATGATGTATCATATGGATCATTAACCGGAAGAAAATTGGGATCATTTTCATTTTGACGTTGACGTTCTTGACGTCTCAATTTACGAAGTCTATTACGTTCCCAATCTTCCCATCGCTTAAATGGAACTTGAGAAGGATCAAATTTACCACCTTTTCCACCATGACTATCACCTTTTTCTTCACCTTCAACTTTTCTATTTTTATCAAAAAATAAGAATTAATATAAATTGCATAAGATAGGGATAATATTTATCATTATTAAATTTTAGCTATTAATTAACAAACCTTGTTTCACCCCATGAGAAATCATCAAAATGCCAATAAGCATATGTTGGAAGAACAAAATTCCATATGGGTAAAGCTAATAAATAAACCATCATCCAAGCAATATAAATAAGTTTTCGTGTAGTAATCAAAATTAATATAGCGGGTAATCCAAGTACAGCCGCTAACATCATTAAAGGAATAGCTTCAGCGAAACCACTCGGAGGATGAAGAATGCTCGAAACGATTAATAGAAATGTTAATACTATGGCAATTGGCAAAACCACAGTACCCATCAACTCCATGAATACAACAAATTGCATGGAAAAACAGAAAGTACCACAAAGATTACGAACAAGAACTAATTCCATCAAATTATGTATTGTTGAATTAATCCAACGACGACGTTGAGAAAGTAAAACACGGAATGAATCAGGAACAACAGTTTTACAAATAGCTTGTGGACAAAAAGTCATTTTTCGGTAAGGGAAATTTCGTAACATAAGGGTAGTTAAAAAACGGTCTTCACCAAGAAGTAATAAATTTTTCTGATGTAAAGTATTAACAATATTTTGAGAGTATTCTTGAACTATTTCTGGCTTTGTAATAATTGGAACCCAATCGTCATCACCTTTACGAGCTTTAAGTCTATACATACAGAAACATCCAGGTAAACAAGTAACACCACCAAATACAGATTCAAAACCTTTACCCAAATGATGAGATATGTAATATTCAAAAACTTGAATAGCGGTAACCCAAGAATCCCGTTTGTTTGCAATTTTTGTCTCACCACAAAGACCCATGATAAGTCGATCATTGCACATACAATTAATTAATAATCTTAAAGAATCTGTATAAACTTTAGTATCGGCATCCACCTATTATGAATGAAATGAAAAGAAATGTTTAATAAAAAAAAATTATAAGACTAAAATATACATCTTATAAAAATATACATCTTATAAAAATATACATCTTATAAAAATATACATCTTATAAAAATATACATCTTATAAAAATATAATATTTACGAACCATCAATACAGTTTCAAAAAAGTCGGGAGTCACATTCATCAAATAGGTAATCTTTCTGAATAAATCGTAATCCAATGGAGTCATACGATCATTATAAGTGACTCGACTAAAGAAATTCATGAGAATTAATTGCGAATCACGTTTGCCACGGTTACCCTGTTTTTTTTGGCCTTCTTCATCTGGATTACCACATTTTACGACTGTAATCATTGGTACACGTCGATCTTTGTATACTATAAACCATTACAAGATGTAGAATAAGTATTAAGAAAATATATTATGTAATATATAAAATCATCAATTACAGTCATCCTTCTCTATAATCACGTGCATATATAGTAACATTCTTTTCATCAGTTAAATATATTTTTTTTTTTGTGAAAAATGAGATAGAAGTTTTATTATGAAATAATTTTTAGAAGAGGTGAATATAGAGGGGATGACTGTATTTGTCATGTTAAGATATAGCAAAACATGCATACAGTAATGTCCAGCATAAACTTTTGCCATATTATGTTGCTTAGAACCGGCAGCGACAGCAATATAACTTTGAGGTAGCGGATTTCTAAACTCGGGTTCAAGTTGCATAAGATCAATACAAATTTCAGGAGTGCTTTTATCATTACCAGTACCCGTTATTAAACCATCACATATAAGGAATAATAATTTACGATCATCAGGATAATCAGTTGCGGCCATAGATTCGCACGTAAGTTCTAAACCTTCCCTTCCTTCAGAATAACAAGTTACTAATAAGACAGTGTAAAGATCATTGCCAATTTTGTCTAAATTTATAGCGTTGATAACCGAATTAGTATTACGATATATCCATGGAGCATTACGTCTTCCATATATTTGAGATGGTGGTGGTTGTTTTTGTTTCTTTGGTTGAGTTGGTTCATGAGCGAGACGAAAAGATATAAACCAATTGAAAACACAAGCCATTAAAAATCGAACCATTACTATTCCTAAAATAACTATTAACATTATGTAATTGAAAACATCAGCAGTAAAGCAACCAATTGTTTGTTTATCTATATTTCCAGCAGAATACTTTTGAATAAGACATTGCATAGCTTGTTTTGTTGAATCTTTTCCAAAAATTAGTCGAGTAAGATCTTTTCCACCTGCTGGATTTTTAGTATTTAGAACACTACGAATCATTTTATCAAGTAAATCACCCGTTGGACTTGGATGAGCTTTAATATATGGATTTAAGTTGAGTACGGCACCATCAATAACGAAATAATTTTTTAAAGCAGGAGATCCAAGGTCTGTGTAATCAAAACCAACACGTTTTGAAGTATTTTTTAAATTATAACTTTGAAATGTTGCAAGATTAAATTTTTCAAGAGGACAAGTAGAAGAACTAGTGGAATCAGAACAAAGTTGTTGAGTACAAGCAGCGAATTGTTTGACCGAATTGAGTTGACAACTAGCTATTTCAGAGTTATTTCTTTTGAAAAAGTTTGTAATATCTTGACCACTTTGTTGGCGTGCCAGACTAATAAAACTAAAATTACTTGGATTTTGAGCATTAGATACTTCAACTTGCCATCCCAAGATTCCGAGATAACCTTTATAAAAGAAAAACTGGTTAAAAAATACAGAATATTTGTTTAGCGAGTGTAAGGTTAATACATACCGCCATTTGTACCATAATGTAAAAAGTTTTGAGAATTGTTTGCAGAATCAGCAGGACATAGAACCGGTCGAAATCCTACTGTTAAGAAAGCAACTACAGCGCCCATTATGAGAGCTATAAAACATAAAGTAACCTTTTCTCTCCAAGCTTGTTGAGCTTGTTTATCAGGAAAACCACCACATTTGGACAGTAGTATATTTGGAGCCCAAAAAGTAACGATACGAGAAAATAGTACCCATAAGTCGAAAGGTTTGCTTTCTTTCTTACCGGGGAGTAAAGGAGCGGCAGGTTGATATCGTTCTGGTCTATTGAGGGTTCTGTTACGCCGAAGCGAGGCTCCATTATTTGGAGGTGCATAATCCGCGTCCATAATACTTTGGTGGTCTTTTGATATGATATTTTTATTTTTTTTTTAAATGAAGGAATGAGATAGAAATAGGGACATAAAATAAAAAATTCGAAGATGGAGAATCTGGTAAATGATGGTACATTGTAATAAAACTTTTTACGTAAAATGGAAATTGCTAAATTATGCTTGGACTAATTATGCTACATATTGCATAAATGCTAAAGATAGAAAAAGGGAACTCTGCATATATGATATATTAAAATACTAAATATTTGATATACATTTTTAATTTATTTACGTATACAGTAATTTTTATTTATAATTTATATAATTTTATAATAATTTTATATGTGATGACGAGAATTAGTACAGTAGTCAGGTACAGTAGTACTGTATTAGTTTTTACTTGTTTTGTTTGTTCGATCAACAATAAAGTAACACGCGTATCACCTTTATGCATAGAATTTGACGGATGTTTTATGGATTTCTCCGTTCTAGTCATGTAGTCATGGGACGATTCGAATGATGTAATTTACAAATTTACCATCTTTCTATATGAATAATCGAAAGTTGGATGTTGATTGACTAAATATTTACTCTATTTACTATAATTATTTGAATTATCTGTTTTTAAATATTTTTAATAACTAAAATATCTATTGTGTGTAACTATGAGAGAATCGTGCCAAGCTTAATTCCAAATTAGTAGTCGGTTCCAAATGATCCGACTAATGTAACTCCACATTTATCATGCATATGAATCAGACCATATATCTATATCAGATTAAGTATTTTAAAATACTACGTATATATACACCTTTATAAATTCAAATTAGTGATAAAAGTAAAGCGACTTAGCCGATTTTGTCAGCTAAGGAGGCTTACGAGGCTTAGTCGAATTTTAGTCAATTAACGTTAATTTTGATTTTTTTTTAAAATTTAGCTTATTTTTCAGCTTCATATCAGATATAACGATTAATAAACAAAATTAAAATTTCAATTAATCTAATTATAATCACCAATCAAAATTCAATATTCAAACACAAAAAAAAAAAAAAAAAAAAAAAAACCGAAACCAGTAAATTTATTAATTTCAATTTCCCGAAATTTATCTCGGCATCACGGAAATTCATCATAACATCAATTCATTCATTATCTTGGTATCGATCTTACTTGCATTAAACGTTAAGGCTAATGCCGGGTAATCAAGATGTTTTGTTATTATTGGTTAAATGTAATAAATACTGTAATAACAAAGTTTTAAAGGATCAACAGGTTGCACATAAAATATTACCTTCGCTATGGCGAACTCAATTATATACAACTACAATTAAAAAATCTTTATTATTATGCGATGTAAGGAGATTCCTTATAATGCTATAATAGACCAATTGTTCCAACTGAATTTATCTATTATACATTAATGAAGGTAAACTGTATATTGGACTACTGTACAACATTAAAAAGTTAACATTTTTTTTAAGCTAACAGGATGTCGTATACAGTATATAATGTATACAAATGCTTGCTAAAATTTATGAAAAACTAAATTAATTTAATATATACAAATTTTTGATAGGCTTTTTTTGTACAGTTTTAGTATTATTTTAATTTAGAATTTTTTTTTTATTTGTTTAGTCATATACTAAGATTTTTTTTGAGCATAATAATTATAGTACACTTATTATAGTAAATAATATCGTGTTCAAAGCTTTAAGTCTATTATGGTAATATAAAATTATTCTCGTAACCCGGCCGAAAAAATTTGAGGTGCATCACATAATTAACCAATTAGAGTAAATTATGAGATACTTCATATAGTTATATAAATGTATAAATATGTACTAATTTCATATGATGGAAGACGCGTATATAATATACACACACAAACGCCTTATATTGAACGAGCAGTTTTATTTCAATACATTTAGCGTTAAAAAGTCAAATCACTTATGGATATCTGATATAATTGATAAACTCTCGTCTGTACGTATAAAAAATATTACGAAAAAGATAAGAAGCTATAATGACGTGCTGAACTAGACATTTCTGTTATTTTTAGAATATATTCTCTATGCTAAATTGATATATGTATATATATTACTTTATTGTAGAGTAACAAACTTTTTGAGCGGGTAATTTCTATTTTCATTAAGATCGGTGTCATTACATTTGAGTATCATCAAGAGAACCGGTTTATGCTATTATATAAAAAAATTCTATTTGGTGATATTCATTTAATGTAGCGGATAAATATTCATCTTTTACTATAAAAAAATCATAATGTAGAACAATGTGAAATAATGCGAAATAATGTGAAAAAAATGACATTATACCAGTAATTCATTATATCTTCAGATTTATCGCACTTTTCAGCTAATTTTAGCATGGCCGGGTCATTTTCTTATTTTTCAAATGACTAATGACCAAATAATTCGGGTCATTTGTGTCATTTGGATCATTTGATCATTTATAAATAACGGATCATTTAGTCATTTATAAAAATAATAAATAAATATATGACATATTAATAGATTAATAGATTTCATTATTATTGTTCAATGCGGTTTTTAAACATTTATGTGAAATAACCTTACTGTATTTAAATTTACATACCTTACCATTTTTCACAGTAAATGGGTTAGCAATGCATTAGTAGAAATCAAGCAGATTGACATTTAAAAAAAATTAATACCGACCGTATCTCAATGAATTTTGAGGCTATCTTGCTGAATTACTATTTAAAAGGAAGTCTAGATCTTAAGCTTTCTTTTAAATGTTAATTTATCAAGATATAAGTCATGAAAATTAAGGTATTAATTTTTTTAAAAAATCAATTTGCTTGATTTTTATTAATAGCAGTCCAAATAAAAATTACTGTAAAAATAATAAACAAGTAGTTTATTGAATATTCAGATATAATAATAAGCATGCTAATGTTTATTATTTATAAAAAAATTATTTAGATAAACTTTTTTATTAACAGTGTCTTACAGTAATAATATTATTTTAAAAAAAGCACTATATTACCTTATATTTTATATAAAAGAATTGTACATGTAAATTTTAATAATAATTATACAATATATATTATTACAGTATTATAGCTTTACAAATAATAACTTTAAAGATTTCTTAATACTGTAATATATACTAATCTTCTAATATAATATATATACGTGTATTATATAATTAGTTAAACAAAATTTTTTTACAAACTTTGAGCAAGACACGATCACTAGGGTGATTCAGAATTAATGTTCAGGTTTCTGATTTCGAATTAAATTAGTGACGTATTTGTTTTGAAATAAGTGATTTATAAATTCTTCGGAATATCAAATAGAAATGGGAATTTTCAAACTCTATTTATTTTAGAAGTAAGTTAATTCTACTTTGCCAAGATCACGGGTTATTTCTACTATGCCAAGATCACATGATAACATCCAAATCAACCAAAAATCTTTACGAGATAATTGTACGTATTCTTTTTTTGTCAAATTCATCCCTTATTTTCTATTAGAATCGGGTATAAAAAATTAATATATTTTTAACCAATCACAGGTTTGTATTTTGGCATGATATTAAAATCTACTTCCAGACTATCACACACTAATTTGAAAATGGAAATAGGCCAATTGTTTATTTATTTATTAATGGCCATACGTAATAATTTACTAATAAGTAAAAAAATTGTTTAGTCCAGGTTTTTTTAATTTATAACTTTCAGATTGCAATTGTGAATCGTAATAAGTAATAATCAACCGCAATAAGCAATAATTAGTATATAATAAGTAATAATAAATAAATAAAATAAATAATTTTTATCTCTCCATCTCTACGTATTTTCAGATAATATGAAAATTCCGTTTTCTAAACAATTATGTTCTTATTTATGTATTAAAGTAGAAAATGGTGTTTATCATAAATTATTAAGTGAATTCCAAATCAATTTTAGTTCTGTTTTACAACATAAACAGACAGTACTATAACTGCATCCTGTGAAATTCGAACCGTTAACGAAAAAAATTTTGATTGAATTTTTTAGATTGGTAATATAATAGATTGTTCAATAAGGTAATTTTATGAAAGTTTGGCCAACAAATCATTCGCATGACCAAAACTACGCTAAGTAATATTGTCGGAAAGGCTCGTGATGGTAGAACATAAAATATGTAAATTACAGTTACCAAAATTTATTTACAACTCCGTAGTTTCTGAATTTTAAATATATACGTGTAACATAAAATTAGTCAATAACGATGCAAAATTATTATATATTATATTTTTATACTGCGCAGTATAGTCGGTTAATTATTACAATAATGCTGAAAATTTTAAAAATACATGGTTGAATAAATTTAAAAATCGTTAAACGAAAATTTGAAATTTTGAAAATTAGGTTGTATTTCATCCTTCATCCCATAAGCCATCATTCCCATTGATTATTGCAGTGTTGTTTGTATTAGCAATTATTCCACCTCCTGATCTTGTATTAATTGGTGACATCCTGACATCCTTATAATTGGATGACATTATAAATACAGTCAAGTCTTGTCACAACGAATGCATAAAATATATGAAATATATTAAAATTTCTGTTATGACAACTTAAGTTCTCTGTAGCAAGGCTTGACTATATATAATCGTATTTAATTATATATATTTTCTACCTTAAATTTTCCATCAACTTTCAGTACACTTTCTATAAAATTGGTTGCTACTATATTATTAGTTCATAGCAGTTGGTTATATACAAGCATGTCACATAATGTATAGAATGTCTAAAAATAATCCAAAAATCGAAAAGCTGTAGAAAATAAAAGAATAAATTTTTAGATATTTATATACTGCAAAATTTATGGAAAACATTGAAATTCTGCTTACTATATTTGGCACCAAAAGATATGTATATTCTCCTTCCTGAAATGATGAGTCTTTATATACTTTGTTATTTTTGATTTTTTAAAAAATATTTTCTTTATAGATATTTTAAGAATTGTTAGTTTTGTTCAACTAAATTAGCGATGTAAATCAAACCCGAATGGGACAATTACGACTTTCTACCTAATTTGGGTTTGGGTCGACTATCCAAACCGGTGGCTCATTCACTTTTGCATATCCCATCATCTCTATGAAATAAACATGGCGCATGTGATAGTTGTGGAATAATTCTCCTGCATCCCGATTTATTTGCCTTATGATTCGCGCTCTAGTCAGCGATACATAAATTTTGGTTACAGCACAGTTACGACATGCTGCTACCTGGTTGGCTTGACCTATGCGGGTCACGGGTCAGTTAAATGGACAGATAAATTGTAATGAACTGGTTTTTTTCCAATGTAGAAAATGAATGAACTAAAATTATAAAACGAGAAGTTCCAATTTAATATTTATATGCCAAGATTTAAAATCTAAAATATAAATTATTGTACGGGTCTTATGTGACAACTCGTATTTTTTTCATTTACTTATTGGCACATGATTGTTATGTCAGATACCGTGCAATAAGATAGTTGTTGTATGAGTATATTGAATAACTAACCCAGTTACACACACAGGCTCATATTTAAATCGTGTAACTGGGTTATTCACTACATACCCATACAATAACTATAAATTATCAAGCTTGACCCATGTGATTATTGACCCGGGTCACAGCTCTAATCTAGTAAAAACCTTTGGGAATCTACTAAATCCCAAACTGTCAGGTTTGGTTTACATTGTTTTGTTAAACTAAATGCATGAATGAATGTGCATTATGTTTACTATTTTTTGTTTAGAATAATTATCATTGTTGTAATATTCAAATTCTTGTAGCATCATATTCAAGGCTTTGGCATAGTTTTGTGAATTTTTTTCTTACTAGTATATTTGTTTTTGCTATAATCTCTTATATCAAATTATTCACTTCTCTATTTTAGAAACTATTTCTAATACTAATTTCAATCTTGCTCCTCATAAACTTAATTACTTAATACATACAATTTCATCTCACCCTTCTTTTTCTTTTTATCTCTCTATTCTCTACCTATACTTTTTTTATTTTACTCTTAAAGGACTTATTCCTTTTCTGCTTATCCAATATATATCACTATTTGATTTATTTTATTCAATAGCCTCTCAGTTAATTATTAAAATTCTTATTAAAATTTTTAACTAAATTTATAAGCAAACATGAAAATCATACTGTATTAACTTTTTTACTTAGAAAAAAGCATATCAAATATCATCAAATCTTGTCTTTACTTAATTTAGCCAATAATTTTTTACTCATCTCTATTTTAGAACCCATAATACTTTTATATATAACTACTGTATTTATATAACTTATCTGATTAACTTCATTCTGATTTCTCCTAGCTAGGCTTGTTAAGTGCAAATTTAATATCTAGTTTACTTTGTAGATCCAGTTTAGTATTTCTATTAATTATATATTAACTATTCAAATCTAGGTGAATTTTGACCACTCTAATAAATTTAAGTCACAGATAAATAATTAGTCTGAGCTTTTATTTTTATATATAATTTATATTTATTCATTTATATATAAATTAAGTTTTCATTTAGTTTTGTTTTTTTATAATTACTTATATAAATTACTCAATAGAGATATGAGCAAGGCCTTACTTTTTAATACCAAAAAAAAAGTATATAATTTAAATTAAGAAGTATAATGCTAGGCAGAATTAAATAGCATTGTTAAATCACACCATTGATGCTAAACACCAGTATAATAATCACGTGATTTTCGTTAGTATATAAGATTTATTTATATATACATACAGTATAAAATCTATTATTTAACATATATATAGAAATAATTACTAATACTGGTATGTATTCAAAAAATTTAGACTTTCAATTTATTATCGTTATAACATTAAGATTGTGCATTAACAAATTACTTTCGATTGCAAGTTTGTACATTATGACTCTTTTTGTAGCAAACGCTACATTGCTTTGATTTATCCTCATGTCGCTTTTGACTAGTTTCAACTTGTAATACGTATATATAGAAATTACCAACATGCACATATATGCAATTTGTGTTAACAGAATTAAAACAGAAAAGGAAACTGCAGACATGCATACGTACGTATGAATTAAACAAACATCTAAATACATACCAGTACCTGCTTTATCAACTTCAGACTCTGTAATTGTTAAATCTTTATGAGTTTCATTATCAACTTCAGACTCTGTAATTGTTAAATCTTCGTGAGTTTTATTATTTTTAGATTTTCTTTCTTTCTTTGATCTTTAATATTTGTAATATCGTTAAAAGCCTTTTCTCTCTTAGATTTTTGTCCCTTTGGATTGATGCCAATTGGATTACTAATAGTGCGTGCAAATTCACTAAGATCATCAGCTTGTTCAATAATTCGTCCTTCATTTATTGCAACCTCATTTTCTATTTCCCTAACAAGTTTTAAATGCATTTCATAAAGCTCTTTCGCTCTACTTGTTAAAATAGCTAAGTTGAGTACCTTTTTCATTACTCCAAACCCTTTTCCCCATTGTTGTTTAAGTATAAACTCATGATGAATTTTTTGAGTAAAAACATGTTGACCGCGAATACTTTCCAGGTATGAAAATTCAACTTGTTCATTATATTCTAATGTATCATAACCCTCATTTAAAACTGTCGCAATTGTAGGTTCACTTGCGAATATTGAATCTGCCGTTAAATTAATATACCAACGTTGAGAAATAAGACCGATATAGAATTTTGCACTTGCAGAAACAAGCATAGTTAAAAAAAAGTGATGACACACAAGACCACAATTGATTAGTGTCAAACATGTACAAAGATGAGCTGTATTATCATATAAAACAATAAAATTTTTTGATTTTTTGTCAATGGAATGAACACACCAAATTTCATAAATTCTGGTTAATCCAATTTCCACAATTAAATCTTCAAGCTCAATTACACTTGTATCAAATATACTTTCCGAGAACATGCTATTTAGTGATTCGGTACTGGTAGTCTACAAAAGAAACAAGATAAGTAGTTGTTTTGTATTAGTTACTAACATTCAAACATTCAATATTAACCTGCTGTATAGATTCCTCATTCAAAGTAATCATCCTACACTGGTAATATATACTGTGATTTATTTTATTTTGTTGAAGTATTAAAATCACAGGTGTTAAAAAATGCTGACACACTTTATCAACTTTTTTAAAATACTTGTCATGATACCCCTCTTCTTAGCTCATAGGAAACTTGCTAATAGCATCATTTAAATTTACAAATCGACTTTCTTTTGCTAATAGCCTCTCAATAGTACGATCTAGCTCCAAGAGAGATGACGTTCCATTTACATTGCTCTTAATAATACTATTATATGCTTCAACATATTGTGTGCTCTGTACTCCAGCATTAAAAGCATGATGCGTAAAACACAGTACCCAGGCTTCTCTACATGAATATAACTGATGCTGCAAGTAATTAGCAGCATCAGTATATTCTTGAATCAATTTAGCTCATCTCTTATTAAAAATTGTCTCAACATGGCTATTACGTGTATAACAGAAAGCAGCAAAAAAATTGTACCATTTTTCACTACGGTATTTACTAAGGAAATGTTTTTCTAAGTTTTTATGGATATGAAATAAACAGAAATGATGTTTTGTTAATGGCCAAGTACTTTTTGCCACTGCTATCATCGCAGGATCTGCATCAGTATAGAGTAGAGATGGCACTAATCCACTTGTTGCTTTTTTAAGACTCTCAAACAACCACGAAAATGTATCCTTAGTTTCATCAAATAATAATGCAGTAGCTGCAAGATGAGATCGATTATAGTTGTCAATCAAAATAATAACACACAAGATCATTAAATATTTGTTTGTTTTTGTAGTTGTGTTAATTAATATTACATCAGAAAAACAAGCTCATAATTGTTGTTGGCTTGATTTCATCCAGCAGAGACCTACTAGATGGTTATCTTTACCCTCAAACTGTGTATCTACATGGAGCATCAGATCATCCTCTTTTTGTTTCATAAGCTCAATATACATAGAACCAGCGTCGCTAGTGACTCTTTTCTCATGCCTAATTGCCTGAATTAAATTATATATATTACAAGGGTGGAGATATTTTGTTGGGTTTTTACGCTGCAGGACTTTAATAATAGCACCAGCATATACTCCAGAAGCTGCAAGAAACTTTACTTCATTACAAATTTTAGGGGAAAGTTTGCAATAATGAGAAGCAATCATGTTTATATTTTCAACAAGTTCATGATTGTGTTGACCAACAATCTTTGTAATGTATATCAAATTATCTGTTTTTTCTTCGATATGTATTTACATAGAATTTACAATTTCCTGTATGATGCCCTTTCAATTATATGAGCTTCCTTTTGTGAAATGTGCATTTGGTCTTTCATACATGTGTAGACACGTCATTGAGAAAGCTCATCTTCCTTATCTTTATCACTATACATAATTGTAAACGCAAAGCCATATTCCAAACCATGGTTGTCTAGTCATCTTAAACAAATCAAAAAAAAAGTTGTCAGCAATCACATAACTTATGATTATTTTTTAATTTTATAGTTTATACTTACTCATCAAGTTCTTTCCAATTATTAAAGTTCATTCCTGGTGCGATTGAATATAGCGGCCCTGAATTCTCAACATTTTCCTCATCACTATTTTCTTCAACTTCTAATGGTTCATTTAGGTCAGTTAATTCTTCGATATCAGCTGTTTGTGATTTTTCACCATGAGTTGTTATTAACTGTTCAAACATCTCTTCCAGCACGTCTATGTTAGGCGATTCATCAACATTAATTAAAATTTCATATTGTCATGATTCTTCTATGTTAGTTGTCTATTGGGTTTCACGTATTTCTAACTGACCAAACTCATCTTTAGACTCACAGGTATCAGCATTACTATCACGAACGTTCTTAGTATCAAGTAATAAAGGAAATATAGAGAATAAAGGAAGTTTAGTATCGTTAATACTAGTTATGTTGTCCATTATGATCATTCTAATCTTTTTCTATTCTAGATTGGGAGAAAATAAAGCACAAAAAAATAGTCAACAAACTTACAAATTGGTATTTATAAGATTGGATCTGATTACATCATACTTATAATTATTGTGATAATGAGGTTGATGCAATATAAAATATAATCGTATAGTCATTTATACTACTATATAAAGATCCAAACAGTCATCCGGGTAACCGTGTACCTGACTACCCGACCTGAAATTTTTATCAACCGGGTCAGACTTTTAGCAAATCGGTTGACCCGAAACCTTTTACTAATCGGGTGACCCGAAATTCAAATGATTGGGTTGTCATGTTCCATTACGCAGCATATGACAACCAATTATCATAGCAAAGTAAATTTGAATTTAAACATGACGGCTATTCTGAAACACT